CCTGACTTGACATAGCACTTGTTCAGACTAGCTGCCTTGTCCTTGGTACCTAATGTGTTTGAAAGTGCCACGATAGTATTAGCACAACAGTTGCGGCTTGTCTTGCATCATTTGGGTCATCTAAATTCACTCCAAAATTAGGTGGAGCCCTAGCCATTTATGCTCTGTTTGGGCAATACACATGCACCTTGAAAAAAAGTGATGGATAAGCACCAAATGAACCATAACAAGAAAGATCAGAACTTAGAAACTACTCTTATATTGAAGTAAAACTCGTATTTATTATTCGCCATGAACAAGTCAAATATTTGAAATGGAGAAATATTATGGTAAGTTTTAAAATGATCCAAACTACGTAATAACACAACAAAAGTGCAAATTCTTGTCCCAACAGGGAAAACAAGCATCTTCCAATCACAAATAAAAAGTCTATTACATTAATACATGTAATCAAAGCCTTCCAACTGGTGGTTAACCACCCTAGGCACATGCAGGTCTCAGTCATCTAGTTCGCCTCCTCAATTTTCAGTGCATATAACCGCTTTCTAGCCTCACTCTTCTAACTCAAAAACATTCTCCGACGGGCAGCGGAATCAGCCAACTGGAAGCTGCTATGACCGCTATTTTATCTGGCAAGCCTTCTATTTTTCCTAAGGCTTCATCCGCCTTTGCCACCGAGTAAGGGTCATCATCCAAGTAAATTGGAGGAGGAGTAGGAGCAGGAGTAGCAGCAGGTGGGGGAGGTGGGGCATCTATGCTTTGGGACGTGCTCCGATCGGAAGCAAATGTCGCATCCATCCAAGATATTGCATTATTGTAGGAAGTGCTACTTAGACCAGATGGGAGGTCGCCGTCTTGATCTCTGGCAGATGAAGATTCCAAAGTCTTCTTTTTCCCTTTGCCTTTTGAATGTTTGGCATCCGATTTTCTAATTAACTGCATAGGCGGGTTCATATTGTCAGTCAAGTCCACGTGTTTCAGACCCTGTCCACCCATATTGTTAGGTGATTGACTTTGCCTCGCTTTTATCTCAGCATTGATGTTAACTGGTGGTTGGTTTGAATCTCTTGCATATCGTCCTTGGATATCCATTTTGTCAAACACCTCCGACAATATGTAAAAGACACGACAGTCTCTGTTGTGGTAACTCTCAAAGGATGGATTCTCCTATACATTTAACACCAAAAAGAACATAAGATGTAGGCTAAAAAAAACTTGTATGAGCAGTAAAAGCTTATGTAATACAACAGGAAAAATTAATTTTCAACTTTAATCACAGCTTGCCATTTGCTTTCATTCATGGTTACAGTCTATAGGAGGGGATCCCATCCGGCCTCAGTCACCCTCAATCGTATGCGATTGTATTCTTGTGTCAGGTGGCATAATACATAATACTTCGCCTTGATTTGAGATGGATCAAAGTGGTATCCTTTTTTGGCAAAGTTATCAACAATTACCGGGAAGATCTCACTCTTTAGGTTGCCCTTGTTCATTCTATTAGCTCATTTAAATTCGACCAAGTACTCCGCAAATTCAAGTTCTCTCTCCATTGGAAATTGGGCTCGACCTTGCCTTGATGAAACAGCCTTACCAGTTGGTTTTTTACACTTTATGTAGGACAAATGTATTAGCAAAAGTTGATCATTAAGGATGCAGGTAGAAGTTATGCATCTATTTTCACAGCATATATAGCAATTTTTGGCAATACAGGTAAAGAACATGTGTAAATAATACCAATAAACAACACACGGGGCCATGAACATGGGACACACAAAATAATACCTTGAATTAATTAGTGACGGGGTTGGAAAAAGAGACACACAAAATAATACCTTGAAATAATTAGTGATGCAAAGTTGTAAGTTGTTCTCTCCACACTCGGACCAAGCAGCGCTCACAGGATCAAGAAGTATGAATTCTTTGACTGTGAGCGAAAGTGAAAATTGGCCCTTACAATTCTTAACAGTCTGACATGCAAAGCCACAAAAAGAAATCCCCAAAACAAACCTCTAGAAATGGATCTAATGTGCGGTGGCATAAACCTGTTAACAAAGAATGTATGCCTATATTTCAAATTTTGGAATTCAGCTTAATTACTTGTTTCTATGATAAAACAGAAAACTACGCTAAATAAAGAAATGAAATTCCACATTCAAAATATTAAAAAGCAAACATAGAATTTGAACTAATTCCGCTAACCCCCTATCTTTCTCGAATCAAATGAAGCCATGAAAAATATTACTACTACTCATGGATTAATTAAACCAAAGCAAAATTAATAGACCAAATTCATCAAAAAAGAATTAAACTCCTACAACACTTAGAAAGATTTGTTTGAACGACTCCCTCATAATCAGGTGATGTTTTGCGGTGAATTAGAAGGCTCTCAAAACCTGCTTCTGACTTCAGGGTGTATGATCAGAAAGTCTAATAGAGAGGTACTGAAATATCAGATATTTCGCTAAGAAAAAAGAAAAATAAGCAGAACTCAAGTTCAGAGGCAGACTCTTTTGAAGAGAAATGTTGTACAAATTCTGGATTATTGTCCACCTTCACAACATCAAATTTTGAAAGGCGAACAATGGAATTCCTTATTGCCCATAACAACTAAAATAGAAACCATTTGTGTATCTTTGCATTTTTCAGATGTTTAAAAGGCACTTTATATATGTTTGCTATTTTGTACCCAACTGGAAGAAAAGAATTAAAAGACAGATGCCTGGGATCTATAAAATTGGGCCACAGAAGCAAGATGTTCACATAACGAATAGCATCCGAATCCCAACTAGAAAGGCTAACTTATTTCATCAATCCCAATCCGAATACCATCCGAATCAGTAAGATGTTCCCATAACAAATTTAGCAATCATTGCTCCAACCTCATATAAAAGACACAACCAACTCAGAAAGAAGGACAGTTTGAAGTATGAAGGGAAACAATGAAAAGAATACTAAAATTCAGAAGGATGAAAAGTTCTTAAACCATTAAGGCAATCAGGACAAAATGAGAACATGTTGTCACAAAACTGAGCTAGCATAAGAACAGTAAACTCTTCCAAACTACGAGGGGTTTATATCAGTATATGAATAATAAACTACTTTTTCACTGTTCCTATATAACAGGTGTGCAGTTTAGGGGTTGGATAGATTTCAGCATCAGGAATCTTATCTAGAAAATTCAACATTACTCCCTCAATGCAGGCTTTTAGATTGTATTTGGATATGGCAGGCAACCCCTCTTTGTTTTAGGCCTGTATCTTCTGGTGCTATTTGGTTTCTTTAGTTATAGTTAAGATATTGAATGTTGTCACAAAAGTTGCTAACACAACTGATTCAAGTTTATAAAAGGTCTGTCATGTGAATATCATTTAGTAGATTTCAATCTTTGGATACAAGTGACAATGCTATCTAACCTGAGGTCCTAGCAGTGGCGTAACGGATAAATTTTAATAATCATTACCAATAGAATCCTAAGGATCCAGTATACAACCAATTTGAATTTCAATGACTTGAGATTGTCTAAGTTAAAATGTATACCGCCATCAAAGCTTGCTCGAGTCTGCTACCAAAGCCCCAATATGGAGCCCCAAGATAAAACTGCTACCAAAGCCCCAAGATAAGTCATTTGTCTATCTCTATCGTATCTTTACTTAAGGTTACTTACAATAACCTAAGTATACAACAATCAGTACCGTCAAATTGTTATTCAATCCTCTAAGGAAGAAAAGAAGCAATAGCTTCTGCAAACAATGGAACAAACAAACTCTGACGTCAGACACACGGTCATATTCTGAGAACAAACACACGGACACACATCATATATAGAATTTAAAGAGCAGCAAAAGAGAAAAACTGTGGTAGAGATTTGATACGAAAAGGTTAATCCATCCATACAAGACCCAGAAATTCCATAACAAGCACCCCTCCTTAGAGGCCGACGTCCTCTTTGGCCTGGTAATTCGGGGCTCCCCCTTCTTCGAGGCAGAGTCCCGCGAGACTCGAACTTTGGACGTTGGGGTTATTTGTTTGGCTCTGATACCATTGATACGGAAAGGTAAACCCATCCATACAAGACTCAGAAATTCCATAACAAGATTCCAGTTTCGAAAACATCCTCAACATACTACTCCAATCAAATTGCCTTCTAATTAATTAACTCAGCAGCCTAAACAAAAAAAATTAGCATATTTAATAACAAAATCGCCAATAATCCTTCACTAGTATCTAATATAGAGGGAGTAATCAACAAATATTGCCATGAACTGTTGACTATACGCTGCGTAAAAAAAAAATATTGGGGAAGTAAAAAATGCTGAGCTCAATTCAATAGTTGAGTTAGAAGGGAATGCACCTAAAATTAGCACAGCAGTCTTCCTTTGGCAACAACAACAGCCATTTCTTGCAGGGCGGAGCGTGGTGGAGGGGATGAATCAGCCACCGCCGGAGTGCCGGATGGGATTGCAAGAGCCCAGTTTCTGAACCTTCGGTGGACCAATCAAGCACACCGAATGGGTTTCATCAAGAAAAAAATAATCCCGCCGCTTCTATTCGCTCCGATCAGCTGCACACTTTGACGTATTGCTTGGTTGACTCGGGAGAACTACTGAAAGAGCCCTAGCCTTCTATGCAATGAAAGAAAAACAAGAGGAAGAGTCTTCTGTTTTGTTGTGAAGTCGAAGGGAAAAAAAATGCCAAAACGACGTCGTTTTCTTAAAAGTTTCGGAAAGGGGCTACGAAAGTTTTGTTTGAAATTTTTAGAATTTCTGTAGCAAAAGTTAAAAAATTAGTAGCAAACAAACTTGCCTAAAAGGCCTTGGTCTTGTTAAGTTGTGAGAGGGTAAGTAAAATTTTAAAAACCTCAAGGGATTTGAGTGATTTTATGAGAAAGGCTGGAGAGGTTTTCAAAATTATCGCATCCTAAATTTTTATGCTGGTACCGGATTGAGTCCAAAAATTTGAATTTGAGTTTGATAGCCTAAAGTTTCAATTCCATTCCATTTATTGGTTTACAACACTGATGGAATAAAAACGCAAATAGCAGAGAAAAACTCCAATTATGGCTATGGCTGTTCACATATGTACCAACTTTCTACACTCAACTCACACAGTCCCATCTTCTCTTCGACCTTATCCTGCAAACCCATCTTCTACAACCGTCGTCAGAACCCGTATATCCTGCCTATCATCATCTTCATCATCACCAAGAATGGATCCTCAGACCAAATTCATGGAATTCCCACATGTATCCGCCCCAATCAGGGACCTAATGCTGGGACTTGTATCTTCGGTAGAAACCCATCTGGGCTCTTCCCTTCTCCCTTGTTCTCTTCCACCTGATGTGCAGTACTATCAGAACCCCAATGGCAATGCTGAAGGCACCGTCTTTGTCAGATCCGCCATTCCCTCTTCTCCTGTACTGTACTTTCTGAAATTTATCCTCCCCTTTCTAGTCTTCTATAAAACGCCCAAGATGCCTTTTTTCTTGGCCTTTTCTTTTTATTGTAACTTTTCCTGGTTAGAATTAGTGATGGGCTGGTGAAGTCTTGATAACTTTGTCTCTAATTGCTCAATATATATTTTTAAGCTGATAAATTTGTTTGAAGCTGACAATTTAGACTGTGGTAGTTTTTTATTTTGTTGAGAAATGGTGCCTTATTTGAGAACCGCATACAAGTGATTTGTTTAAAATTGCTCTACCTAGTATAAAGCAAGCCAAGAGCAAGTTCCCTAGGCTTTATGCTTGGTTTTGTTAAAGAATTCGATGATTTTCTATAGAGTTGGAGACTAAGTTGCTGGATCTTGTGGAGGGTTTGATTTTGAGTCGTCACAGACAATGGTCATGAAAGCATCAAGATTTAGAGTTTATGTTGTCAAGATTTATGAGCTGGTTATGAGTTAAGATTCAAAATCATGGTCAAGAAAGCTCGTACTTATATAAGCACGTGTTTGTAATCATCTTGCTCATTGGTACCCAATACATTATTTTTGGGTTCACATTGATGAAGAATATGATGGATTCCTTCTCTCGTGCTTATATAAGTCGAGGCTTTCTTGGTCATCATGCTGAATGTTATCTCATCCGGTACAGACTTGAAATTGTTTCAGAGATTAATTCTATAGGTTGTTAGGAAGAAAATATCCCATAGCTAACACAGAAAGTGATAAATTCTAAAGCAGTACTTGTTTAGATAAGCTAAGACATTGTCAAGAAATTTGACGTTATCGGTTTTTAGAGGTTCTTAACTGCTTTTTTCAGTAATGCATAAATTGTGACTGTTAAAGCAAATATTTCTTGGTCACCTTGATTGAACATGTATTGTTAAAGAATGTCTTCTATTAGGTTTTCCATGATCAATTCATGTATAATTGGATGAATTTCCTCCAAAAGTAACAGCTTTGAGGCTTGAGCGCTCAGTTTTTCAGAGTCTGAGTGAATAAATGTGCTTCAATCCATGGTGTTCGATATGGCAATGGACTTTTTCTTACCTTCTTGTGTTGGTCTGGCTCTTGTTTGGAAATTGGCCTTGTCTGTTTCTGTTTTCAAATATTTATCAAATAATGATGAATCATTTTCTGTTGCATATTCTGGACTCTATCAGATCATTTTTTCAAAAAAAGAAGAAATTCTGCCAAGCATGTGTTTTGTTTACAAAATAAGTAACATCTGTTTGGGATATCTTCCTGATAAATGACTGAAACAAAAAGCATAAAGTTGCAGGTGAGGTATTGAATTAAAGTTTGCGTGTCGCTTTGTATCACGCTGTATTTGTTATCCATTATATCTTTAACGAGCTCTTATAATTTAACTTGAGAAATTACTCTCTTTTATTGTACTAATTACTCTTTAAGAAATTCTGCATCAATTAGGTTGATTTTATATTGGGAAGCTGGATTAACTGCAAGCTGCCATCCGGAGGAGCCTTGAACATAGCTAGCCTTTCAACCTATTTGAAACCCTCAACTAATGCCCCAAATTTCTTAATTGAGGTGATCCAGAGTACTCCAACATCTCTGGTTCTCATTCTTGATATGCCTCCAAGAAAAGATCTTGTCCTATATCCTGAATACCTCAAGACATTTTACGAGGACACTGAATTGGACAGGCACAGGCAACTTCTTGAGAAGCTGCCTGAGGTAACGCCTTACTCTTCCCCTTCTCTGTATATCCGAGCTCTTATCTCTCCAACAGCTATTCTTGTTCGCATAGAAGCTGAAGCTGGTGAAATAACGAGAATAGACGAGATAATTCGAGATAATTTGAGTCCTATTGCTAATGAAATGATCGAGGTATGGTTAAGTTTGTGTGCATCTGTGGATAAAGAAGTGGGAGAGGCTGAGATGGCTTACTTGGAAAAAAGGGATCTAATTACGAAGACAAAGACTATTGAGATTGATCTTGGCGCCAACATTCCAAGATTGTTTGGGCAGGAAATTGCAGACCGAGTTTTAGGAGTTTTAAGGGGAGTTTTCAATGTTTGATCCTCCTAGTCCTGTGACTCCTTGTACCGGATAACGATTTTAACTATCTCGTGTACTGTTTGTATTAAGTTGTAGATAATTTGATTGCTGTAATTATTATTTAGGATTGTAGCATGTAAAAGTGCAGAAGTAAGATATTACATACACAATGTATTTATTTATCTGATATGTGTGAACTACTCTACATTTACTGGGTTTCGAAGCTCCAAGAGTCTGGTAGCAAAATGGACTGTTCCAGAAATCTATGTGGCTGCTCTGCTATCTTTCCTCCTCTTCATGATCCACAATCTTGTTCACATCAGAGCACTACACTATATCTTACCAAACCCTCTCCTCTTCTTGGGTCTCCAAAATTTTTTCGAGAATCCATCCAAGAAAGCTTTCTGAGCTCAATTCCTCCAATGGCTACCCTCTAAATGCAGTTTCTTTGCAAAATGGTGAGTGTGTGTGTGTATATATATATATATTTACCTTTTTGGTACTATTTTAATGCTAGAAACCTGTATAACTTTATCTTTAATTGGTTAAGCTCTATTGCTGCATTTCTTGGTTGTTCATGTTAGCATTTATTCGATATTTTATCCAAAACTAAGATAAAATATCTGTATCATTTAGAATATTAGTTGTCTTTATGTCATTTTTGGCTTACTTTAGTGCTAGTTAAGCAAGTGAAGTTCTTTTCTTATAAAGCAGATTCCCGGGAAGAGGAAAAAAAACAAGAATTGTACTAGTAAACTAGAAAAAGGAGATTACTTTGTGTTCAATTTCGAAACTGAAACACTAAAGTGGAAGATCTAGAAAAAATTGATTGCAGAAATAAGTGTGGATAAGGACTTTATAATAGATGTACTAGTATTTATTGAGGAAATCGATAAGGATTTGTACAATGTTGGGAAGTCTACAATTATGTCATTTGGTCTAATATTCTACCAATCCCTTCCATTGACTATTGATATCACCAAATTGATGTGTTTTTAAATGGTCTTATTGATTTCTCGATGATTTAAACTTCAAAGCCCCATTTACTGGATTGTTCTTAACAATTTCCTGCTTTTGTAATTTTTCAATTTGGTTTCTCCTACATGGACACGTGGATTTGTTGAGAAAGTTCAATGTCAAAGCCCTTTGCAGAAAAACTACCTTTTCCAAAGCCTGAGAAGCAGAGACCACTCTCAGCATAACTGTTGGTGCTTCAGGGGGCACTTTCCAAGAAGAAGATTTTTTCTGCAGTATGTGCTCCTTTTTATGAAGATTTTCTACCTGAGCTTCCATTTCTGTATTGATTTTCGTTTATTTGGTCATCTAAGATTTTCAAGACCTAGATAGTAGAGAATGTAATTATTATTGTCACACGGTCTGGTAAACCTGTTCCCGAATGTTGTTTGCTAACCATAATTGTGCAAAACTTCATTGTCTTTGGTTATGCTCGGACCAAAATAACTGATGAGGAGCTGAGAAGCATAATTAGCACAGCCTTGACATGTAGAAGTTGACAAAAGGTGCGTGTACTTGATGAAAGAATTCTAAAGTTTAGTATATATTCTGATAATTTACTTTCCATTAACTTGTGGTTAAAAAACTTCCAGAGAAAATTGCAAGGACAAAATGGAACAACTTCTTATGAAATGTTACTATGACAGTTTGGAGGGCAACTTTGCAGAACGGGAATGCAAGCTCAAAGAGAAAGAGGTGATGCCTGTTCTTGGCTAAAGACCTGATTTGATTTGCATGCTTTTATCTATCAACAAAATTTTAATAGTTTATGTTATAAAAAAAAAGTAGTTTGGGTGAAATTCTTTATATGCAATAATGTTTGATGAAGCATAATAGAACAAATGTGAGCTAATCATTTTGTCTATTGATGGCGTATAATGGCATAAACATGCTTTTAGTGCCATCAAAGATTCATACATTGAGCATCTGAGAAAGTAGATTTCCATAAAAGTGCAAAGTTATAGTAAATTATCAGTCTTTTGAAATATTTTCTGGAAAACTGCTAATGTTGTTGCATCCTTGGACATTAGCTTAGTCAACATTATGCATTGCAGTTTCACATTATAGAATGGTCTTGAAGACCAAATTTTGGCTTTGTTGTTGTCATGTGTGCTTATTGTTTTCATCGTTCTGATTTTCTATTTCTGTGCATGTCTTGTTTGATAGATTCATTAGCTTAGTCAACATTATGCATTGCAGTTTCACATTATAGAATGGTCTTGAAGACCAAATTTTGGCTTTGTTGTTGTCATGTGTGCTTATTGTTTTCATCGTTCTGATTTTCTATTTCTGTGCATGTCTTGTTTGATAGATTCTGAGCTAAAAGGTGATCATTTGCTATTACTACAAGTAGTTACCTTTAACTATGTGTTGTACAGAAGGATGAGTTGATATGCAATGATGCTTCTTTTAGGATTCTGTAGGTTCAATAGACTTGCCCAGAAAAACTAAAGATAACCGTCACATTCATGTTTCTGCTTGCTGTTTTCTTGTTTGAAAACCTTGTATTTTGGTTTGCCTCCATAAATGTGGGTGGGTAGTTTGATATATTTGAAGTTTTTGTGTATCTACTGTATGTTCAATTACCTAATTCCGTAAGTTAAATCCTTGTCACTAAACTTTTGGCAAAATTGGCAAGGCATATTTGTTTTTTTGTTATTTGATCTTTTCCAGTAGCCAGTTCTCTTTGAATCTCCTCTATTTTTTTTTTTTTTTTTTTTGCATCTGGGAAAGGTTGGAAACCAGTTCTTAGATGTGGAATGTTGACAATAGTATATTCATATACTTACTACTCAGGGTGATGGTCTGTCAAATAAGTTATTTTATTTATCAATACCTCCAAACATATTTGTGGATGTGGTGAAATGTGCTGGCATTAAAGCTTCTTCAAAAAGTGGATGACAAGGGTCATTGTGGAAAAGGCTTTTGGTCGTGATTCAGAGTCCTGTAGAGAACTAATGATATGTCTAATGCGGTATCTATCTGAGGATCAAATATTTTGGTAGGCTTAATAGCACCATCTTGTAATAAGCCTAAATCATTGACAGTGGCTGATTAATTCGAGTTTGTTGACTTTTGTTCAGAATTGACCATTAGCTGGAAAAGGAAGTTGCTGAGAATCTGCTAGTGGTTCAATTCTCAAATCTGGTTTTGGAGCCTCTTTGGTCTAGAATTTACATAAGCAATGAGCAATTTATCTTCCCTAGTACCCATGGATGAGGAGGGTGAGTTTCTCATGTTTCCTTCTGATTAAACAAAGTGAAATAAAATTACCCTTCCAAGGATTAAAGCAAAATTCCTAATGCTTGGATTCTAGATACTTTGACAACTAAGGGATTATAGAAGATATCATGCAAAATCATTTGTTTCAAATATTAGCTTTGTTTGCAATGTAGACACTAGCAAGCTTGGATGCCGCCTTTAGAAATCAAAAGGTATTCAACTTTGTGCTTGTCTGTCTTGGAAAGATCACTTGCCCAATTGAATTTGCTATTCTGTTAATTTGCATTTTCTTTTTGCAAATTCGCTTATGAGAACAAATTTTAGTACTCCACCTTCCCTTTCATGTTAAGAAAAACTCTCAAAAGCCTTTGAAATCTTCAAAAAGGGCAAATAGGGAAAACCCCCTGTGGAACAAAATAAATGTGTAGTAGTATTAGCATTGTAGGTTCAGCTCAAGGTTTTGAGATCATGGAGGACACTGCAGGTAGATGTGATTGTTGGCCAGTATAAGGGCAATAACAACGATAGTAGATCCTATCCAGGACATACAGACAATGAAACTGTGCCAGAGGACACACTCCTACTTCTGCTGCTGCTACTCTACTTTTTTTCACAATGCTTGCTGGATAGAGTTCCATTCCTGCTAACGGCAGGCAAATCTCTCCATAGCAAAAGTAAGTAAATATTTGTCCTTAACAAATGGATTCTACATAGAGATCTGTATAGCAAAGCGTTCTGACAATTGTCCCTTTGAAACCTTAGAGCTGAGATTGGAGTCTAGTTTATGCATGTCCTAGTAATTTTTACATGAAAAAGTTTTGAACTGACTTGGATAAGGCTATAAATGAGCTAGTGCTTCGGTCACAACCACATGACGCTGTATATTTAAAGATCAACAACTAAGTTCCAGGTCTTGGCATGAGACTGGATTGGGATGACTTAATCTTCTTTAGGTAAGAGATTGATGATGCTATTACATGTCAATTTCTTCATACTATGGTGCGCTGTTGAATACTTTTATTGTATCATTGTCTAAATTCAAAAGTTTTCTGCTGTTTCAAATATCACTTTGGATGCAGTATATCTTTTCCTCCAATTATTTGCTCACAAATTATGTTCATATTACATCTCATAGACAATCAGTAAACCTCTTGCTTAAATTGGAGATTCCCTATGGATTATGTGTTTTTCTTTTTTTTTTTGGGAGGGGGGTGGGGGGTCGTTTGTTTTCAAATACTACATTGTAACATTGTACATAAAAAAAAAATTGACATTGTAGATGTATTTCGGGGTGTTTTTAAAATTTAAAATTTTATTGGATTTTTTTTCTTTAAAAAAATCCTACCCCAACCACCCATCACCCCTTTCGTCCTTCCCCACCACTTGCATCACCCTCTCTCGCATCGCCACAATCCCTTCTTCTCTCCCTCCTCCTCATCTCTCCTTTTAATTCCTCCTCCCTTCCCCCTCTCCCTCTCCATGACTGGTCTTGGCCTGCGATCTCATTGCAGGTTGTGATTAGATCTAGTTGCTTCTCAACTAGATTGTGGGTGGGCTGCGAATGTTACGACCGGATTGTGTGGGGAGAAGGAGGGGAGGAGAGTGTGGGGAAGGGGGAGGGGAGGAAGGGGGAGGAGGATGGAGAGGGAAGAGAGAGGAGGGAGGGGGGCGGGGGTTGGCGGTGATGGTGAATGGTGTTGTGTGGTGGATGGTGATGGTAGGAAATTTTTTTTTTTTATATTTTTTATTAGGTGTAGTTGAGATTGTATGGATTAGGTGTTTTTGGAGTGTGTTATTGTAGACTCCAAAAATAAAAATAGCCAAATCCAAGTAGACTTGAAATTTTTAAGTACTTAATCTCACTTGGAATGCTTTTTCTCGTACAGAGTTCACTAATTTAAACAGAAAGCCAAAGGAGCTTAGTGGGAAGATATCTCTTTTCCCCAAGAACTAAGGATTATAGACATGTTGGTAACAAATCTTTAGGAAATTTAGTTCCACATTTTGATCTGTGTTTGAAGGTATATAAGCAAAATACTACATGCCTATGAAAGACTCATAGATGCAATAGAAGAGGAAAGAAGGTCTTTTATTGGAAGTTATGGGCTTGATGCTGCTTGGGCACTATTTTCACCATTGCTGAAAGAGCTTGGAGAAAAGAAAATTTGCTTCTTAGCTGTACCCCTTTAGCAGCATGGATTGGTTGGAGCTAGCGTTCACCGTTTTGCCCGAGTCCGAGATGGCTAGGGTAATTCTAGAGGTGGCAAAATGGGCGGGATGGGCGGGATTTGATTGGGTTTGAGATAGAACCGAGTCATACGGGTTTGGGCCCAACCTTATCCATATGTGTTTTGGGACTAACTTGGGCGGGATCACTTTGGGATGGGTTTAGATTGATCCCGTCCAATACCCAAATCTATTTTCTACATATTTTTTTCTTTTAATTTATTTTTATTTTTTATATAAATTTAATATTTTTGATTTATTAAATTTCTTTTAATTTTATTAAATAAACATGCAAGTGCTTTATACTTAAGATTCCCACCAAAAATTGGATTAACAAATAAAAGAAAAAATAGATATACAACCATATTCCAACATATATCAAGATGGTTAAGGTACTTAGGGTGTTGAATATTTATCCTCATTATTGTCCAATGATGACAGGTTTAAATTGATTGAAATGCTGGAAATTCTTGTGGATAATGACTAGAAAGACTACTAGATTATATTCGTTGGTATGACTATAAAAATTGTTAAAGATAATTTTTGAATCTAAGACTCCGTTTGGATTGGCTATTTTTTCAAAAAATAAGTTTTTCAAATATAGTATTACAGTAATATACAATAATTCAAAAAATATCCTATCCATATTAGTATATCAAATATTTTAAAAAAAAATTTATAGTAAAATTTTTTCATATACACTACTATAATAAAATATTTCAAAACCACCTCCCAAAAATAACTAATCCAAACGGAGCCCTTGCTATTTGAGCCCAATGAGTACCCAAGTATTTTTCAAGATTTCCCATCAATTAATGGGTACAATTGGGATTTGTCCTATTTTAAACCCAATATCAAATTTCAGTACCCATCCCGCCCAAAGTCTCCATGGGCATGGGTAACTCATTGGGACTTGGAACAAATTGCCACATCTAGGTAATTTGTGACAGCTCCACCTTCCCTTAAGGCGAACCAAAGGGGTTAGCGGACTGCCTGCTCAGCTCTCGTCAGGATTAACGGTTCAGTTTAGAGCGATCTAATACGTTCCGGAACATACAACGCGTGTAAACAAGTCAAAAGGTCAAAATAAAAAAAATGAATACGGAATCGGCCATGAATAGTAACCGACACGTCAAAACCCAACCAAACATCAAGCAAATATTTACATGTTGAAATTAAGCATATACAATCTAAAGTGGCATACAAAAGTTAATCAAAAGTGGATACATGCATGGTTTGCCAAATTAA